CCTAGAGCACTCTCTGGCTGGGCCTTCACTTCTAGCTTCCAAAACTCTTCTATCTCAAGCTGTGATCCGATGAATTCATTCCAAACAGGATTACTAAAGAAGTGAGATTATTTATCTAGCGATCTTGCTAGGTGTTCTCTGAAGATGCCTGTTTACAGAAATGACATCTTCCCACTCTTAATGAAGAAATACATACTTATATCCTTTCCAGGTAAGATTTCAGTAATTTTCTGACTGGCAGCTATACAACCTCTGAACATAAACTGCGTGTCCTGTAGCCTGTCCATCTCAATGAAAATGTCAGTCCTGTGCAGAAATAGAAGAAAATAAATGACGTGTGGTGCTTAGGTAATATGCCAGTGTAAGGGACACAGCACCCTTAGATGTACACCATACCACGTTCTGAGTGGCTCAGTATCCTAAACTGGACACGAATTCCCCCTTTAGCTGGGTCAAATATACTTGGGAAACTACCAAGTCACTAGTGCTGCAGTGAACCTTGTTCTGCGGTTGACTGAGCCCTTATAAATCTGTTTGGGATTCCATCCTGATTACTGCATGCAAATGCTCTTACACCATTCTGTCTAGTACAAAGATTAGAAGGACCACACAGAAGCAATGATACATCCCTTCCACCTAATTGTTGTTTGTGGTGAAGGGAAGACAGCCAGACAGGGTGTCACTTCTTGCAGAATGACAGCCTCAGCTTAGTAATGGCCTTAAGACTCTTACGATTGATGACTGACTGACTCCAGATGAGACTCACAGGACTCATCCAAAGTCTATTGCCGTAAACCGTCACAGAAGAGGCCTGGATCTTAGTTCCTAGTAATAAAGAATAATAAAATAGTCAGCAATATAACCAAGGCCTGTTCAACATTCTACAGAGGATATTTAAAAGTCCTTCTTGTAGATCAGATAGCTTCAGAGAGACCAGGGAGTTTACTCATGAAGGAATGGTTGTGGGGTATAGCAAAGGAAATCAGAGAAAGGAAAAGCAAGTATCTCAGGTAAAAATGGTGTCTATTTCCTCAAGAAATACACTGAAAAAGTGTAACAGAGAATTATAATAGCAGGGCTGGCTCCAGAAGGAAGTTCAGGTGTGGGAAAAGTGCATTTTCAGAAGACTGAGGGGAATTTTTTGTGCCAGGAATTCTATAGTCAGCATGGGTGATGTTAGCTTGAAGGTAGAAGAGGGAGGAAAAGAGAGGGAAACATAACAGCATCTGTTTCATTGTACCCAGTTGGTCATTATAATCCAAAACACAAATGCTCCAGGGGGGTGAAGAATACTCAAAACCAAACAATAGTGGGAAACCTATCAGGTAATAACTTGTAGTGTAAATGTATGGGATGAAAGTCAACAGACTTTTGGAATGACAGAGAAAACTGTTATTAGATTGTGTTATTTACTAAGACTACTCCATCTTTAACTTCTGATCTGTAGGGCAGTAAAACTTGTGACAGAGCACAGGTTGAAATACCTGTACCTTTAAACCAGGCAATTGTTTTTTGAATCCTCATTTGTAAATAGAATAAAAAAGAATAACCAAAATTAGTAAACCTTAAATATCAGTAAATGTTTAAGGTTCTCTGTACTTTCTTTAACATCTTACTCATAATAGTAGAATGGTTATTTTCATTAAACCAGAAACTAGATTTTAACTGAGAAACAAGAAACATTTCATAGGACTTGATCAGAAATTTCCATACAAGATGTTTTTACTTGCACGAGGTAAGAAAAGAAGCATTTCTCAGCAACAGTGACCTAAGCACCAAGTCTTCTGAAATTACTTTCTTCTTTATATTTAAAAACATCATGGCTTCAGATAAACTTCAGATAAAACCTTAAAAGCTCAATGCAAGAAGGACATTTTATTGTTACTGTTATTATTGACTGTTTGTTAATGAAATCATTCCAAGAAGTACAGGATATTTTTGCTGCCATTAATTTCATTCTTGATCTACATTATTGTTTAGGCTAAAATATTATCTAATAATGTACATGACCATGTTCTTGACTTTTCCTTTTCCTTATTGTTTTGCTTATATATGACAAACATCACTGCTGCCAAGGACAGGATTCTAGCATAACATATAGATGTTACTGAAAGAAAACATCTTTAATATATTTTGATGCATCTGGCAAAGCAAACCTTAAGCATACAGAATTCTATTGAGTCAGGGAATAGACAACTGTACCATGGGTATCATTCTTAAAAGCTGCAGGTTTTATTTTACTAAATTATCTATATTAAAAACAAATCTGTGCCTGGTGTGGAATTTCACTGCATCAAGTGTTACAATAATTTTGTTTTCATTACAAGCAGGAGAATGCATGTAGAACAAGTGTTAAGAATCATGACAATAAATTAGAATATAATTTACAAAAGCAAAAATAATAATAATAAAGTAACAGTGTACCACATTAATAATGAGTATAAAATAATAAGCAACTAATCACAATAATACAAAGGTAATTTCAGTCTGTATTATTAAGGATATCTATGTGACATTCACTCCATTACAAAGTTCCTAACGAAATGGACTATTTTTGGGTGTATACACCTTGAGGGGTTAATCTCTAGATTTTTCTTTCTGTTCCGATCTTCTTCAGCTGATAGTATTGCTCAGTGGAAGTACTGGCACCAGATTGATTTCTGCATCTTGTATTCTACTATTTGATTCTAGGCCTGTCATATTTATAGCCTATACAAATAGTCCTTTTGCCACTATTTAGGAATTTAACACTATTTAGCTTAGATTATACAGATGGCTACAGTGTAGCAGCAGCAATGAACTGTGCTGTGGAAACCAATTCTTTTTCTTTGAATTAGGTTTCATTTTTCGGTCTTAGTCTCAAGCGTTGCTAAGTTTGTAAATCCACATACATTCTGTGTTTTGTTCCCTTTAACAATACAATTCAATGTTGCTCCAGGGAGTTATTTAAATTCCAACCTCAGTGCTGTTATGTTGCAGAGTAAACATCTGACTCCCTAGTGTTCTAGCACCAGTAAGAGAGCAAAATGTGTCTTTGGAAATACTCCTTACAATTTTAATGTCCTAAGTGAGGTAAAAAAAAAGGGGTCTTTTGAATACATGGAACCCCCTTTTTTTGTTAGCTGAAAAGACACATTAGCTGATCAACAAAATCATCCCCTGGAGAAAACTGGACCCTGATACAAAGAGGCCTCTTAGGGAATGCCAGAGCAAACCCCTTCCCTTTCATCATGTTTTTTGACCTAGCCAGGGCATGCTAGCACCAAGGTGTTTTGTCAAAAGGATACAGAAAATCGATTCACTTAACAGAGGACTACATACTGCCCTTAATCCCTATGTGCAACTCCCGAAGACTGGGGTTTTTTTTTAATCTACTGATGTCAGTTTTAACAGTTGTTTACACGGTGATGAGAGCAGCAGATAAGCATATGTGAATACACGCAAGCCAAGTGAAAATGAATTCCACTGGTCACAGGCATACGGAAGTGGAAATACTGGCAAGAGGTAGCAGATGACAGGAATTTGACGGTCATGAATACGTGGGCTACACAAAACCCCATGGATAGATTGTCAATATGTTGGGGGAATTTCATAGTATGAGTTCTGTTAACAATATCTATTGTTCCATGTTAATTCACATTAGTAAATAGTGTGCAATGTATTTGGCTTGTTATTGGCAAAATACACTGGTACACTTCAATCTCATGGTATTTTGAAATTATTTTTCACTGAAAAGAGTACTTTTTTTAAAAAGTGCTATTTGAGTTAGAATTTGTAACATGTTATTGTTCACATAGTTTTAATTGCACTACAACAAAGGAGGCATAGATGGACACAAAAGCACATTCATCAAGTACCTGCTGCAAAATGCAAGTGTTCAAGTACAATATATTAATATAAACAAGTACCTACTTTCCTTATCTCCTTGTTGAGCCTGTTACTGAAAAGTGAAGGGGAAAAGGAGCACGACAATTAACTTCTTTATAGTAGATTCTTGAATGTGACTTGCCTAAGTAGTTTGGTTTCACATTTTAAAATGCAAAGTATTTGGTGAATATTAAAAATATGGTAATATGAAATAAGTGGAATATGTCAGCAGAATAGTTAAGGCATCTACCTATGAATCCAGAGGCATGAGTTTGTTCCAGTATCATGCTGAAAGCTGCCCCTAGCTTTAAATATGGTACAGCTTTAAATATGTACCTGGCAATTTGGGTGAAGGTGGCCAGACTTCATGCTAGCCACCCCTCTTCCAGTGTGCCTTACTTCTGATAGTCCAACAAGCCTCTTGGCTCAAGCACACTTTTGACTTCTCATTTGAGCAGAACCTATATATCTCCACAAGTTGTTTATTCTTTGGTTGTAATCCTTGCCCACTCAGATGTGGTCTCCTGAACTGCACATTCACATATTCTTTCTCATCAACAAACACCCTTCTGCTATGGTATCAAGGAAGGGAACATCTGGAATCCATTTTAACTTTCAGCTTTGCAAAGGATTGTTGCTATTACACAGTAGGCTTATCTTTTGCACTGGAATTCCTTAGTTTTGGAGAATCAAAAGTAATATGTAAACCAGATGCAGACACCCACAAAGTTGTTTCTTCTTTGTGGCTGGTGTTGTAAACAAAAGTGAGCTGGAGTCAAAGTGTAAGATCTAAGCAACCTGTACAGTAGTAGTGAAGGAGCTGGCAATGTGGTCTTCACCACTGTTGGAGTCTGCCTCCTCCATGATACTGAAATATGTTCCCTTTCAGTGGAAATCTCAGATTCACTTGCACAATGGTAAGATGGCTATAAACCTGCAACGCAGATTTCATTTCGTTTCATAGCACACTTGTATTTCATGCACCACTGCAATAACTGTTGCACCTCTTAAAACTAAGTCCCTCATGGTTGTTCTGTTTAGTATAGCTTTATATATGGCTCACAGCAGTGTTCAGGAAATATGGATTACTCCAAAGGGAATTAGGTGGAATGAAGGAAAAATACATTTTTTAAATTTCTGCTCCTTAAATAACATTTCCAAGCTCATTTTATAATTTAAATTGTGGTGCTGCGTTGTGAGATAAAATAGTTAACATTTTTAAGCTATGACTTAACATTTTTTTTTATTCTTCTTTGCTTCCATAGTAGACCAAGTCATAACAGCTACATTTTAAACAGTTTTAAATACAAATGGATTCAGTGTCATTGCTAAGTCCATAATAAAAATTATTTTAATGGTCCAAGGAGGTAAACAGACTATTGGATTTAGTCAAAAGAACACAAATGTTCCACAGTAAGCTATTCTATATGTGTTGTGTGGATTTTTCCAATTTGGCATGCCCTCCTTATACTGTGTCCAGCACTTTGGATTAATAAATCCCACTTCACAGAAGTTAAAATAATATTGAAATCCTGTCAGCTGGGGCTGACCAGTGGTTACGTTTTCCACAGGGTAATGCGTTTGCAAGGACGTCAATCTCATTTCTCTGTGTGGCTCTCCTCAATGGACACTCTTCCACAATGATAACAGGGCACATTCTTGTGCTTTCTGTGGGTCAGTGTCCTTGGCAGGTCTTGCAGCACATCTGTCTGAAGTATGCTCGACTGCAGAACTTGAACTTCAGCACCAGTGGGCAATAAGCCACTTTGTTCACATCTTTGCACTCTAATAATTAAGAGCATTAAAAAGAAAAAAAAAATTAAAGTACAAAGAAAATTTGACATTTAACATGCTGCTTCTCTACCCACCCATCCACTTCACCCTCTTTGTAACTACTCTTTCTAGTCCAGCCTAGTGTACACAACATATTTTAAAAAGCCATAAAAATGTTTGCAGGGTTTCTCTCCCAGCCATTTAGAAGTGTGCCCGCTTTGTCTTGGAGGAATTATCATTTATTGGGATAAATGATCACTTTAGACAGCTAGGAAATGTGAGTCATTTTTCTTACAATACTTTTATAGCTTCTTTCTCAGGAGTTATTTTATCCATTCATGAGAGGTTATCCAAAATCTAACATGATTCGCACTATTTGGTACCATGCCTCTGCATTTGTAAGAATCCTTGAAATAGAATGTGTGTTGCAGCTAACAGGGATGGAGAAAATGATGAGTGTTATAAATAAAGGCACCAACAGTGTGAGTTCAGTGACTGGACTAATGGTGGATTTTACTTTAGGCTTCCTTCCACGCATCGACAATTTCTGTTTTGCAGGAGGAAAAGCCATTTTTATGCCTGTAATAGACATGTAAGAGATTTTTTTCATAGTTGTGTTTTCCCTATATGGTGGGCTTACTCCCTCAGCAGCCCTTGTCATCCTGGCAGGTCACTCTCCCAGGAAGGGGAAACAAGAGCTCAACCACGTGGAGGAAGATTCCTTCTTTTCCAACCCACACAGGTTGTATCTAAAGTGACTTGAAGGGGTACATTACAGGAGCATTGCTGGAATATGCTGTGGTTCTCCTCTGACTCAGTTTCCTTTCTGTAGAAAGAAGGTGGGAATAGGGAAATAAATCATTTGGTCCATGCCCAGTTCTTATTCTGATACAGGTAGAGATACAGCTGTATCTGAGAGCTCAGAGGTACACTCAGGTTCTACAGCTCAGATGTTGCTGCTGCAGATTTCCTTTGCACTGGAGTGAATATTTTGATAGATGCCTGATAGGGGATTTTTAGTTAAAAGCATTTGCACAGTTCCTTCCAGACTAATATTACAATAGGACTTTGGCAAGGAGCTTTGCTTCACGTGTAGGAAGATGGAAGAGATGTATATGGAGAAAAAGTAAACCCCATGAGTTTGAATTACAAAAATTAAGTGATGGAAAGAATGAAATTAGATTAATTTCCCAGAAAATTATTTGTCTCAAAAGAATGGTGTTTTTACTCTTTTAAGGTTGCATTTTATATTGGCTTCCTCCTACAATCTTTCTCACATTACAACAGCTGTAAAGAAAATGTGAATAAAAAGGAGATGAACTAGCAGTAGTTTGACCAGTATCATATTTTCTATTGATTTGATATCGAGAAGTCAAGACTGGAGGCCAGGATGCTGTTGCTCCAAGGCCTGACAGAACAATAGTCCTTGACCCTGAGATGCCTGTAAGAAGCCAAATATGAAAAAGACAACAGACACACCAAACAGGTAAGAAAAAAAAAAAAGTGGTAGTGAAACAAACACAATCAGCATATACAATCATTCAGCTACTCCTATTTGTCTTCCATCTACATACAATCTCCTAGTACACCATTTTTGCTCTGGAACAGTGTGTTCATGCTGCAAGCATACTGTAGTAGCAAGTTAAGTGCAGATGAGAATTTTTAGTATTTGAATGTTGGAAAGCATTAGTGAGGCTGAACTTCAGGATCTGTACTGAGCGGTATTTCTGATAATGGCAATACGCATGCTTTTAGCTACATAAGTGGAGGCCATGAAATGATTTAAAATTTAATTTCATTAATACAGATGTAGTGCTTTCATCATAATTTTTTTACCCCACCCACCCAATGTTTTATGTACTATTTTTCTAATTTTTTAATTCTCAATTTGGAATCAGAGTTGGATGCTAGGAGAAAAGACTTTGGGGGTAGTTGGCTGAAACTGACATATTTTTCCATCAGCAACCTCACACGGTCACTGTGTTTCACTGAGTTTCAAAAATTCATCCCAAAAGAGGTCAAATATCTTTCAGAAATTTTTTAGGTCCTTGTGTTTGTGAAGACTGGGAACATAAAAGAGACAGATGGTGAATTATAAATGAAGTGAGGAATAAAAAGGTTCACTTGATCTTGATGACATGTAAAAAGTTCACTCAATCCCAAAAATAACCCTCATACACATTGGATTTAGTTAAATACAGGTAAAGCCACTAACTGCATTTTTGCTAAAAGTAGGATTTGAAATTATCCTATTTCATGTTTAAGTTATTCTTCCTTTTGACTAAACTGGACCCTGTTCAGCCAATGCCATTTGGACAGCAGTGAGACAATATTCTGGAAGTTGTCTACAACTTCTGTTTTAAAAATCAGTTTTGAAACAGATATGGTGGCTGATGAAGTAGCCTATTCTTCATAGGACTGTGGTTGAATGGAAGAGGTTTAGCAGAGCCCTTTTTGTTCCTAGTAACTACTGTTAGTAAGTTTCAGTAAGCTACACATATTAAACTCTCACTGCCTGAACTTTGTGGCTAGATCAGACAATATTATGATATTAAGTATCACGTTACAGTAATAAAATCACAGAATGTCACTGTGCCTTCAGCTAAAGAGACTGCAAAGACATATCACAAAAAATACAAGGAAAACTGAAATGACATAAAAATAGATAAAAAAGTTTTTCAGGTAATGTTTCAGATGGCCTTTAGCAGTCTAGATTCAGCAGACACATACATACTTAAGAGAATAACATGACTCTGAACACAGTTCAAATCGTGTGGTACGTGCTGCCTGTAGTTCAATTCCAGCAGCAAATGCAATGTTATCCTCAAGAGTGGCAGTCCATCAAAACTCCATCTACAATACTCTAAATCATCAATGAAGAGTTTAAAGAAAACCAAGAGCTAAAGCAGATGTAAAATGTGACAAGATATATTGTACCTTTCGTTTACTATTTCTGTATCCCCAAAGTTCTGACTGTTATTTTATATAAACAACCTGTACTTTCCCCAAGAAACTGCTTCCAAACTTTACCAACATCATCATTTACTGCAGTGTGGCTCAAGGTTCCTCAAAAACACGTATGCTCTTGTTTTGACTTAGTAAAATTAAATTGTCCAGGTACTGCTGAATGGGCACCAGAGTTTGGCAAAAGAAGGGAATCAGGAGGTTTGCTGGGGTTTGAAACAGGAAGGCAATTCGCTCAGCTGGTCTGACCCTGCTGCAAACCAATGACCTGTTGTTGAAGTTGCTTTTGCCCCACAGAGGGGTCCAAAGCAGGAGGCAGTGCTACTAGGTGGCACGTATGGCATGTGGACAGTCTCCGCTATGCAATGCATGCCCCAGGGGAAGAATCCTCCCTCAGAGACCTGACTCCTTCCCTGACACCCAAATACTGACACACAGTTCACATCCCACTGCACCTGGAGAGAGACAGAAGCAAGCATACAGGCACAGTATGCCCCTCTCACAAATGCATTAGCAAGGAAATACCAGAACTCAAATATTTCTTTCATAGAAAGGATTATCCTTCAAAAAAATAGTTGTGCTCTTCCAGATTAGTTAGTTCTTGAAATCTTACAAGCTTTCCATCATCTCTGGTATCCTGAAAAAAGTATGACTGTTCAAAGGCTAACACATTACCAACAAGAGATGCCAGCTCCTCTTGTGTCTAAGAGGATTTTTTTTAATGCAGAAAATGTGCAATACATGCACATTATTCTGCAAATCCTCAGTTTGTGCTTCTTAAATTCAGTATTTAATAGCAGCCCTGAATTGTGTATAAACTAGAATATATATTTAAGAAATACTTGCAAAGTCTTGAAAAAATACCTTGAAGACAAAATTTTTGTCTAATTTGGGGATAGGGCACCCTTAGTATTTCATGGATCACAGCAAGGTTCTTCTGAAAGAATGTAGGTATTTTAAACTGTTAAATGAAATCTGAGATTACATTTACCTTTGAGCCATTTGAGCTCAAATCACTTACAAATAATCAGTGGTTTCCAGTAAATACCTTCAATGTGGGACATAAGCAAAAATGGGATGCTAAGTGGCAATCTGTTGGAAACTGTATCTATTGGAAGAGATCGTGCTATGTATTTTTCCCCTCAATTCTTCCCAACTGCACTAATGAGGCTGCATGGCTGTCAGTAAGGAGCTGGCTCACACCTGGCCCACTCAGAGTGCAGGCCAAAGAGTTGAAGTCCACCTGGAATACTGTGTAAGCGATTTTCAACATTTTCTATTTGTGGATCCCAAAAATTTTCCAGTGAAGGTGTAGGTTCCTGAAAAACACTATTACCAACAGGCTTTTCATAGCTACCCTGCATAGCTCCACTGTAAAGAAGTTCATGGCCACCCAGCATGCATATATTACACACAGAAAACCCCTGATTGTATTCCTCCATAGGAGATTAGCATATTTTCCTGATAATACTGAAGAATTACTAATGTAATAGCTATAAATAACAACATGACCTTGTCGTCTTGAAATTAAGAGGAGACTGGGACTAAATCACGCCCACTTATAAGTACTTTATTACCTTACCTACTTTGGAAAAAGTCAACATCTGTGTTTGGAAATAAAATATAATTTAGCCTTTGATCTTTAAAGGGCAGTAAGTTTTCTAGATTGATAACCTTCATGTAAAGATTACTTGAGAGCACTAAACATAAAAACAGGAATTAAAATAACTGAGGAAAATTTTATTATGAAGATGTTTTTCAAATGACAACATGGGATGATAAGCCTCTATTTAAAATTAAAACTTCCAAGCAGTAAATTATGATGCTTATACACTGAATCATCAGTGTATTTCTGGGAAAATTTTAGGATGCTCCCATTTCAGACATCTCCATTTGACAGACTTTTATGACAACTTTGAATGTGTGGCATGAACCTGAATGGATACAGTAGGTATTGAACGAACACCAAATCAGGGTAGACTGTAGCATAAATTTGCCTTTTTTTTTGCCCCAATTTAAAATCAGAGTATTTGTTCCACATAAATAGGACATTAAACTCCAGTGTAGTTGGAGAACCTGTGTAAAAGATACTCCATTATATAGACTGCACAGAGATTAGTTATGTTGGAAGAAGCAGTGTTAATGACATTGCAGTCAAGTACTCAAAATTTAGGGAATATCAAAATTTAGGGAATAACTGCTTTAAAAGAACTATTACAGCTATGCAATCTTCCTTGATTTTTGGATATGGTAATTTTAGTAATTTTTCATTCCTTCTCCCCTTCCACACAAAATGAAATGGGCTTATCTGGTGAGCAACTATTCTAAATTTCTATAATCAATGAGGAAACCGTTGTTTTTTTTTTTTACTACCTACCACTCCAGTTCTTCTTTGAAGACAGCATTTCCTAATAGGTTGGCTTGGATAATTTAGGAGTTCAGATCTGGAGCCTTTCATAAACAGTAATAAACTTATTTTGACATTATTATCTACTATATCCTCTAGCAAAAATATGTTATGATGAAGGTAGTTAATAAATTAGACTATATCGTTGAAAACATACTGTAATTATTTCTATCGGGCATTAGAAATTCAAGAAATTAGAAGTTAATTAGAAGAAGCTGACAAGTAAGTCAAAGGATAAGAACAGGCTTGTAGGACTGTGTAGCATTAAATCTGTGGTCCCAGTCTTTCAATGAACACATAATTAACTATTTTTGCCACTACACTTATATTAACCACTGATGGAGCTGGTAGAATGTCAGTGGATGAGAAGTATATCACGGTCCCCCTGCTATTACGGACATTTCCATTGAACCAATACAGAGATTGGAAAATTAATGACACAAAACAATAGTATGTTGTCCGTGACTCAGGCTATACATATTTAAGGGTGTTTTTTTAAGCAAAGAACCTCTATTTAGGTTTTTAGTGACTTTACCTTTGAACTACAATGACTCATTAGAAAACAATTTTAAAAAATACATTCACAGTCTGAGAGACAATGTGATGTAGACTTTTACTAATAAATTAATGCTGTAATACTGCCCATGTCACTTTTCTTTCCAGAACAAACTATATTAAGATGACAAACTTACCTTCTGTGTTGGAAATGGGAGTACTGTCACATTTACTTTCACACTGTTGCATGGATGGAGGTCTAAGTGTTTCTGGACACTCACTGGATGCTTGTCCAGTGTATGAGAGGCACTGTACTGTTCTCATCTGTTGACCAAGACCACACTGTGCAGAACACTAAAAATAAGAAAGATAAAAAATTAAAACAACTTGGATTCAATTTTTAAATATAAAACAAGATAACAGGAAAACAATCAGGAACAGTACACATGCACTTCAGGCATCTGAAGACACTTGGTTAATATAGAAAATAATTTTCATAAATTAGTTTAGAATTTTTCTTCTTTGACAGTATATGTGAGTACTTGTCTTTCAAAGAAAATAAAACACAACGCAATGCTGGCTCCCTGAACATTTCAGATTTGCGCTGTAAGAATATGATTTACAATATTTCATATATCATTTCTGAGTTTAAGTGCATGTTTTCAAGACAGAAATAATCACTTTAGAATAAAGAAGAAACACCAAGGAAAACAAGAATTTTTTTTTTAAAGAGGGAACTATCTTTCAAACATAAATACTTTGCTGTTTCAAAACATTTATGAATTTCTACAACTAAACAGTGGTTTCAGTACAATATCAATTTAAGATAAACATGCATCTGAACAGCTACCATAAAAGAGAAGCTGATTAGACTGTAATAGCACAAATGATTGTCCCCTTGCTAGTTAAGCCACAATGTTTTATTTTCATTAGTGGCAAATTAATCAGCAAACTTAGAAACTGAACGATCCATTTATTATTTTAAAAACAGGCCATTGACCATAATTGAGATGCAAAAACATAAGGAAAGAAGGAAACTCAGTATATCATATCCAGAAACATTGCATAATGGCAGCACTATTCAGCCTGTACTGTAATAATTTATCTCCCTGTCTGGTAATTCAGTATATTTTATGTAAAATTATATAGATCTCAAAGTTGTTTTGGTGGAGAGATATATGTGTGTGTGTATGTATACATACTACTGAAATAGGAATTGGCTTTCAATTTCCATCATGTTTCTCAAGGAAGTTAAATGTGTTTTAAAAACACTAAACCTTTCAACATTGCTGTATCCCAAAATCTCCTTCAAAAAAACTTGTAATATAGAGTATTTAATTTTTTAAAAAATGCATACAGAAACTCATCCAGTAGAAACTAGATGGCTCTCAGCAAATCCTTTATAGTTCAGCAGACAACCATCATTCAGAATCACATTTCAATCTGAGACAAATGGAAGAAGTTTTTATTTCAGACATGGGAACCTCCCTCTTACCCATTTCCAGCAACATCTTATCCTTAGAAGGTTCTAATGTGTAGGAGACAAACAGCAATAAATACTTGTATGAACTATCTTACCTGTCCCCAGTCTCCAGTAACCCAGCGAGGAGGAGGACATCGGCCTAAACTACAGCGGATGCGGACTGGCGGCTTGCTTTCCTCTTGGCATTGCGCGGCTGGAAAAGTTTTTAAAAGATCGCTGCTTTTGCACAGAACAATTCGGTGTTTGAATCCTGGACCACACTTTGGTGTGCACTGAAAAAACATTGATATAAATGATGAAAATCTCAGTTAAAAGTCAATAAAAGTGTCAGAAGTGTTATTATGGAAAAGAAGAGAATACATTTATGGTCTTATAATTAACTATAATCACAATTTTCCCAAGATGATAACTTTAAAATGTTTAGAAACACAAACAAGCTGATCGATTATTGCTTTATTAAGTTCAAGGGTTTTTTGAGTTTTAATTTGATAAAAGTAGATTTCCTTTGCTAATTATATTTAGGCTATGGTGTTACTATTTATTATTATAGATATGAGACTTTAGATTAGGTGTAAGAAAAGAACTTTGCTGCAAAGTAGAAAGGTCTGCCACATGTAGCACTATTATGAAACAAACTTGAGTGTACATTTCAGAAACTAAAAGCAGGACTCTCTGTTTTTAATATACCTTAGTACAGTCTTTGTCCACCTCACTTACAGACTACTGAGTTACAATGAACACTTTTTTCCTCAATAAACATATGGGAAGACAAATGCTTTACTGGACTCCATAAAACTAGACTATTCAGATAGAAGTACTGTACCCTCTCCTACAATGCAAGTTTTTCTCTCTTTTCCTATTTAAATTTTAATTCTGTTTTCACTTAGTTCTTGATTACCCTCCTTTTATCACTCCTCTGCTCCTTCTAACAGTAAGCAGATAATAAAGTGGTAATTTGAAAAGTGGGTCTGATGACCTCTGCTTTTCCTCCTCCTTCCCCTTATTGTGCCCCCCCCCCGCCACCTTCCTCTTTCTTTTTTGCTACTACTACCTGTCATTTACATTAGCACAACTGCAGAATGGGGAAGACAGAAGTGCTAACAAAATTAAAATTCAAGACCTTCCCCAAATCAGTCCCTCTAACATCTAGCCAGGAGATTTTTCAATCACAGTTTTAGAATTCCCTATCGGCATGTCAACCTTTATCCCATAAGCATATCTGCAGTATTTGGACCAGAATCAGTTTCTGATAGCAAAAGCCTTACATACAGATTATGCTAAACCTGTCAAGAGAGGAATTGCCTTTCATATGAAAGCATCTGTAGAGACAAAATTTATCTGGAAATAACACTATGTGGAACTGAAACAATATTCAGGAATTCGCAAACCAAAGGCCTTCCACACATCCAAAACAGATCAGTATATAACTGGGGAAAAAATAAAAACCCCCAAGACTGATTTTCAAAAAAATTACTTCAGTGATCCAAACTTTACTGTTGTATGCCTAATCCTGAAGCATCTCTGTCTAAAAGATGAGAAAATTTTTGTTAAAGAAAAATTAAAACAGTTCCACAGTACTATGTAAGGCATCAATATTCCCTATACATATGTAAAGGTGCGTGTATGTACATATGTACATATATATACATACATACACACACCTCAAAACAAGATCTTTAAGAAAACCTCTCAGTGGGAGCCACTTAAACTAGTCAATACAGAATGGAAAGGTTTATCCTAAATCTTATCTCCATTTAGATTTTGGTTCTTAAACTGGGCTGCAAAGAGATGGGTCCTCCATTCGGAGCTTATAATCCAGAACTGAAAAATGGGTATATAATCACCTTCCTTAAAATTTAACCTTTCCTATCCTATTCTATCCTTTCCTACCAAGGTACTGCCTCCTTATCTACAGCAGTTCAGTGTTCAGCATTCTGATACAGAATAGCAGGTTCAATCATCCTCATACTGAACGGTTTTAACCCCAAATATTGTGTACCCTAAGTACCTGCCTACTAAAAACTAGGGGAAGGAGGGAAGTAAGAGAAGAAATATCTCTCTCTGGCTAAACTGCAAAAAGAATATTATTGCTAAGTAGAGACCAAAAAAGAATGACAATGAGTGTGTGAGATCTCCAGCATCATGATCATGACTCCCCAGTTCTGGTCCAAATTCGATGGAATGTTGCGTGTATTTTCTCCCCCAAATATATCACCTAAAATGCATGACTTTTAAGCAGGAACTGGAAGCAAGTGCCCCTTCCTAGCTGAGTGCCTAAAAATCACTTGCACTCAATCACTTCTCAGTGAGTCAGCATTCTGTCAAAAACAAACAGAAGAGAGAGAAGGTTGAAAGGACCTTGTAAAAAATGTCAAAACTCAAATGTGCCTGTGCTGTTTCATAATATCTAGAATGTGTTAGCAAATAAGCAAGAGTTTGAAGATCAAAATTTGAGTTTAGGTGCATCCATTTTCTAAGCCTGCTTGAACACATGTTCTTTTATCTATGTCTAAGCTGCCATCTGAGAAGAATCTTTCAACTACTGGTACCAGAAGAAAACAACATCCCTTAAAAAACCACTTTTTTGGAGCCACAGTCAAAATTCCACTAAAAAAGATGGACTACACCCTGTCCCCAGAAGTGAAAGTCAAGTAAGGAAATAGGTTGTCTGCAATAATACCAAATCACCACAACCAAAAAGCATCAGTAGAATTTAACAAAAAATGTGTGTCACCAAAGCAAGTGCAAGACAAAATACTCAAAACCAGAAAAAGTGTTTTCCATTACTAAATGCTTCGAGAATTTTTGACTCACTCAGTGGAAGTTATGACTAACGGTAATATGAATACAAAGTAAATGTGCTTGTTTGATAAGGCTCTTCTCAAGATATCCTTAGATTATTTTTTGCTGGTTTATTATCTGGAAAAATACAAAAGAGGTAATTTAAAGTGGGCAGAATAATTCAGTCAAAGCTCAACTATTGCAAAGTGTGAAAAATTTTATGGCAAAACTGATGTTACCTGAAAATGACTACATTCCACTAAGACACTGTTAGCTTTAATTACTATTTGATAAAAGCACTTTTACACTGTCCTAAGGATTTTATTTAATCTCTATGTTTACAAAATGTTTTTGGTTCTCTGACAAAAAAGATACAGAATTTCTTGTTAATTATCACTGAAGACTAAAAAAATGTGTAACTATATTGCTGCTCAACAAATGCATTAACATACAAAAGAGTTCTATAATTGTTCAATTTGTATCTCTTATTGCTTGTTCTGAGTATTAAAACAAAACTTTAGAACTTGCATTCCAGAGAAAAGTAGCAAGGTTTGCCACTGGTTTCAATAGAAGCAGTATTCAACTCTTTTGACTTGTTTTCATTTTCATGCTTCTGTCAGAAAAATCATATATATATATAAATATTTCTGGGAACCCTGAAGAGGGAAAAGAAAAAAAAAAGCTATTTGTCTCATTATATTAAAATGGTGTCATCAGTCAAGACAGTTTGCCAAGCTACACAAGGTGAAATTCATACAAGACAGAAGTTGGCACTTTGTCGCAATCCTGATTAAATACCATCACAACCAGAAGCTTGGCAGAGGTTGAATCTTTAGATTAGAATGATCTTGTTCAAAATTATAACATGCTCCTGCTGTTATATGGCTGGATATGAAGGTCTTAAAAAGTTGTTCAAGCTTCTTATGACAGTGGCAGTGTTTACAGCTCTAAGGATGATGCATTAGTGAGCAATCTCTCAGGCAGGTAGCTAAAGGGCAACAGTATATAGACAACATTTATCTATGGCTCTGTAACTTGCCATATGGATACTATTATTTGTCAGCACTGAGACGATGCCTCGATATTTCAATTGGAAATCAAGTATGCAAAGATAAAGGATGCAAAGGGCTTACAAACTATCAATGCCACAGATGTGGTATCATAAGAGTCTTCAACTGAACATCCCCTCCCACTCATCCATTCTTTCCTTCTCACTCCTTTCCTTTCTGCTTTAACGCAGATTCATTTTCAAAGGTCTGGAATACACTGTACCTTTTCAGATAAGGACAAGGACCATTTAATACATTTTCTGCTTGATTTTGGTGCCCTACTTGTGTGAAATGCTGGCTAACAATGGGGTAAAAAAATATTGTTCAGCATGTAGAACAACACACACTTTAAGATTCACTGTGCCATTTCTAGGTTTCTTGAAGTCCTGATCTACACTGAGAAAAGCTGCTGAAAGAAACCACTTTCCTACAGGTTTCAGGATATAATGCTGATAACTTTTTATTGATTCAAAAAACATCTTGTTATCTTAGACTGAATAAAACTAGAGACAGATTGATAGTCTGGGAATGACCTATCTGTTTTATGATAGTGTATTATTAACAAAACCTGGTACAAATAAGAGGAGATTCAGAATATAAGCAAAAGCATCTGACAAATTAATGAAAACAAAAAGATTTAAAAGTTCACACTGTATTTTAGATTATTTTTCTTTGATATAGAAGCTCAATAAAATGGCATTTCATTCATAATTCCTTACAGAAAGAAACAGTTTAAGAGTATAGCAAATTGCCACATTTTTTTTTTGTTGAAAGAAAAATAACTTGTACAATAATAATAATAAAAAAAATTGTCTACAGAAGTAGTTTCTTCATCTAAGAACAGATGGAGATTATACAAGTGTGAAATTCAGACTGCAAGGAGATGAACAACAGCTTCCACGGCAGCTCACAGCACTGAAATTTAACAGACAGATATTACTACTTTTAAGGACTGCCATAATGCTTAGATGGTTATTAACTAATGGCTGATGGAATCTCCATTCTTGGAAATATTAAAAATCTGTCTGGACATGGTCCTGAGTTTCTGGCTCTAGGTGGCCCTGCTTGAGCAGGGAGAGTTAGACAAGATGACCTCCTTACTTGTATTAACAAATTATGGGAAAATCTGTTCAGTACCACTATGGGTGCTCACAGTGATGCCAGTAGCCTTCCTCTTTAGGCACTGAATTTCCAGAGACTGTAACAACTCTTGGAGCTGAAAGTATCTGTGCATAGAAGAGATCTGTGCAATTACAAGCACATCAACCCTCTTTATAGTATCCAGTGATTTATCATTTACTTTGAATGAAAAACTGTATAAAGGCAAACAAGTACACAGAAAATGGGATACAATGAATCATGGGTATATCACTAGTAGATCATCCCAGTTTATTCTAATAGTCTTCTCTCAGTTTTTGTAGACAAAGGAAGTGGAACAGTTCTAACCTACTTGGGCTTCAGTAAAGTACTTGAAAAGGGGACAACAACAGGGTAAAGTTTTGGATTTGAGAGATGCTACCTGCAAAGACCTTCAGCTATAGGTACTGATCGGATCAGTTATAAGACTGATTGGATTCATATTTCTTTCCAGTCTATTTAATGATGTTCATACAAAAGTAGTTTCAGTTGTTCAGTGTTTCTGAAATTACTGAAACTAGCAGATAGCACAAGTTACTAACTGACCTTGATGCTACAGAGGTCTACAGAAAGAACTGGGCAACTATGAAGACACTAATAATTAAAATGAAGTGAACTTTGGCAGTATGACATGCAAGAGCATGCATTTCCAAAAAAAATAACAAGAAATGAAAGAAGGAGGATAAAGAGTATAAGATGACTTTATATAATCAGTATGTGATAGCTGTGGAATAGAAACAGATTATTTAGGGTACACTGATACACTGTAGGTTGTGGGTATTTTCAGTAGAGGCAGGAAACAAAAGAATGAGTCACATATGAAACCTCCTCTGGGATAATATATACATTTAACTCTAGTCATCCATTTCCCAAAAGATGACTTTAAATTGAAACATGAAAGCAGAATGTGATGAAGATTAATTCATTTCTGATGAATAATAGCTGGAAAGGAAGAAGGGCTGTTTCAGATAACAAAAGCAAAAAGGTATAAACCGGCATAGAATTAGAACATTAGAACACTTCTTACAATTCAAAGATTGAAAGTTCAGGAATAATTTTCCAATAAGCAGTGGGACAACCCCCCAAATTAACTAATTTTAAAACATAGTTTAACCAATTTATGAAAGCAATTATATGATATGGCTGCATTTGACAGCAAGCACACAGACATGGAAACTCAGGAAATCCTAACCTGTAAGTACTCCAAAGGGTACTTTGAGATAAAAACTGGGGTGAGGTGGGAGTCCAGTATAGCAAGGATGTGAAAAAGTATACCGACATTTTTGCATTCTGATTTGCATGTGATGCAGTCCTATTCAAATGTATCTGCCTCTCCTTTCAGCTGTACTGGTTCACATTCTTCAAATTTAATACTTGAATCAGTATAAGGTATAGTATAAGTTTGGCTTATACTGTAACAGGTATCTACATACTTAACAAAAGATGTTTTTTTCTTTAATAAAGAGAATACCAATTCTCAGGTCTGACTCCTGAAGCATGTTGCTAAGAAATGTGATGCTCTCCACCAGCATGGTTACATCAGGAATGAAAAAAAAAAGGCAGTTTATTCTGGCTTCTGATACTGTGAATCCATCATCTCTACTATCCACCTATTTGCCTGTTCAAAAAGTAATGCAAATGTAAATTGCTTTTTTTCTTTAAGACAATTATCTCATACCAAATGGCTATTCTAGCTTTTTGTTTGTTTGTTTGTTTGATTGGGGTTTCTTTACTATTCTATTTTGTATTTTACTATTTTTCTACTATGATTGATAAAACCAGGTCATAATCGTTTGACAAAACAACAGAACACGAAAGAAAGAAGGAAAGAAGGAAAGAAGGAAAGAAGGAAAGAAGGAAAGAAGGAAAGAAGGAAAGAAGGAAAGAAGGAAAGAAGGAAAGAAGGAAAGAAGGAAAGAAGGAAAGAAGGAAAGAAGGAAAGAAAGAAAGAAAGAAAGAAAGAAAGAAAGAAAGAAAGAAAGAAAGAAAGAAAGAAAGAAAGAAAGAAAGAAAGAAAGAAAGAAAGAAAGAAAGAAAGAAAGAAAGAAAGAAAGAAAGAAAGAAAGAAAGAAAGAAAGAAAGAAAGAAAGAAAGAAAGAAAGAAAGAAAGAAAGAAAGAAAAAGAAAGAAAGAAAGAAGAAAACTGCTTCAATAGTCAATCCATGAGGTCTTGAGTTTCTTACTAATCCTTTACTATGAAGCAGCGATAGAGAATGTACTAATATTCAGTGGTGAGAGCTCTTGTCTTCTCTATTACCAAAGAACTAATACAGCGAAATGTCCTTACTTCTGACCAGTCCAAAGCTACCCACTGTGGAGGGCAGGACTGATTGTTACAGGGCTCCTTTTCAATAGGCCGGTGTGTTAAACAGTTGGTACTGTCCAGTGTCTCCTCCTCAGAAGGTCCAATCTTTCTGATACAGAGAACTGTTCGTGAACGCATTCCTCCATCACAGGTCTTACTGCATTCTGACCAATCTCCTATAAACCATCTGGAAAGAAAAAGTTAGGAGACTCAGTTGATGTATTCAGAAACAGAGTAGGTAATTGCACAAACCCAGAATCCAAATAGTTTAAATTACTAAATCTAAATCATTGTTAACAATATATGTATTCATAGTGAAATAAAGTAGAAACTTATGGGTCTTTTTACTGAACATTTTAATTTATGCCTCACTGTAATCATATCTTCCAATAATAGTACTTTTTATTTTTCTAGAGCAACCATTTCCAGCCTAGGCTACACTAGTTAGAAAGGAGTGTTCAGCCTGACATAACTGCAGCTATTTAAGTTTTGTACTGGGCTTGCCTAAAATTTCTCTGAAAATGGTTTGCAACTGGAAATGTTTGGGAACCATTGCTGTACGTTACAGCACAAGGTAAAAGCCAAGATGGTTGCCTCTCTACTATCATTACAATAAAATAATTTGATCTCAAAATTGGACTTTCTGAGAGTTAATTCTCATTATGAAACATTTCTAAACTTTTTTACAAAAGGCTATTCTGAAATGCAAAATATTCTTATTTATTAAAGTAAAGTAAACACTAGTAAAACATGAATTCATCACATAAAAAAATGACCTCAACAAATATTTAAAAAATTTAAAGCACTGTATGATAGCTGCAACTGCTAGAGGGAACTTCTGAGTGTTTGCGTGTGCATAGTAAAAGTCACAAGTTGTACAGTGTATTTAGATTACTTTGTGTTGCTGCAGAGAGTAAAGCAGCTGTTAATCTGGCTATAATGTATTTTGTTTGGTTGGCTTGTTTTGGGTTTTTTGTTGTTTGGGGTTTTTTTTCCTATTGATGAATGGTTAATGCAGCTCAATTCACTGGAAATCTCTCTTCACATTGTTGAGTACATTTGGTCTTCAATATTTCATACATTGATTAGAAACACTCGCCTGAACCATCCTTGCTCAGCATGAAGGTGAAGTCTAGTATGCTATCACATGTTGCCAACATGCCAATAATGCCAGGCATGTCAGTCACTGTGGATGTTCCTGGAGGTACGCTTGGAGCTGCTTCATTTGTCCTTTCTGAAGCCTCTGTCAAAAAAATTGTGCTGCTACCCTGTCTTGTGTTACAGAATGTCTAATATATTCTAATATGAACCTAGATCAATGCAGAGATGCAAACAAATATGCCATATTCTGTCATTAATTTCCCAGAATTAATTTGTGTTTCTTTGCCACTAGACTTACATTTTTACCACTCTATCTAAAGACTAAGTCTTAACGGGTGGTAAATCTTCCAGCCAAAAGGGTCAAACTTCTTTGGGTAACTATCCGTTATTTGAATGGCTGCCTTCTACTTACAGCATCAGGAATCAAGAACCCTTCCTTAGGAGTTTGGCACTTTGTATTCACCCTGTGGGGAACCTCAGAATGGAGGCAGATGTGGGCTGAAACTGCTCTGACATATTCAAGCAGATGCTGATTAATATACACTACCGAGTTTCTGAATTTTGATGACTTGAGTTTCACCATGTTCATTAATGTCTCTGCTGTACTGGATGAAGAATGCAGAAGTGTCCCCATTTGTGGGTTGCGTTTTTTCCTTGGTTTTTTTTTTTTAAATAATGTGAGTACACAAAAGAGAAATTAATTAGTTTGGAATAACTATGTTAACACTACTTTTTAAAGTGCTAATTTGTTAATAGTTAAGGCACACACAGGAAGGGATAGGGATGTGTTTGGTAAAAAGAAACTGGCCAAACACGACCACTTCCTGAGTTGTGCTCTCAGGTACATGGTGCGAATTTAGTTAGTGTGCTTATAGCCATGCTAAACAGTGTTATCCAAACAGAATCCAAGTGCATATCCTTGCAGGGTGAACATATATTTACACACAGACTGTGGGGACAATGATTTAGACCTACTTTAGACCTGTTTGTGAGACAGCACATTCACATTCAAATACATTCAAGGTGAGAGCAACGTAATGGCTCCACTTCTGTTTATGTCAAATGAGTATGTATGGTACATGACACAAGGGGAGTAAGTGTAGGAGACAATGCCCTGCTACCCTGCAACCAGTCACCACACCAGGGAAGCAGCTGATAGTCTAAGAAGAAATTGGTTTCATGAAGACCTGTTGGGATTTTAATGCATTATAGTCTTGTCTCAGTCCTCCCAGTGTTCTTCATGCCACAATTTTACAGTTTCTAAGAGACATTTAAAAGAAACCACAGTATTTCTTTATTGTGCAATATCTACATTTAAACAGCATCAATGATTTTCATGCCCAATTAGAATACAGCTACAGATAATCACCAAACTTAAACTAACCAGAGCTTGTGATCAACAAACAGTTGTATCTCTTCCATTTTTTCCACAAGTTTTATTTGTGTCAAACATAAGAAGGAGCTGTTGTGCATATGCTGCAATTATTTTCTAATGCAAAATATCACAACTGTTTCTAAACAGCTTTTTGTAGTGAGATTAAGCTATACTGTAAATCCTTGCCAAATTTCATTTTTGAACAAATCTGCTGCTGTGTTTTTAATTATCTTTTCAAAATATAGCATACAGCTATCTTTAGAAATAAAACTAAACAGATATAAACAAGCAGGCACCTAATCTTAAAGGCACACCGCATTACTGTACAACACTGAGTATCCTGGAGAGAAAGTTGTTTGACAAAACTATCAGTAAATGGTCTGCTAAGCAGTTTCTATGTTTGCCATTTCTCATGTGAACAGTTCAAGCCAAATTTTAATAAAAAGTACTTAAAAAGATGGCATACATTTACTATGTAATATAAATATCTATGGCAAAGTTAGTCTCACATCAAGATTTTTCTGTCGTCGTTGCCTTAAGAATGGCCCCCAGTTCTACTCTGGGTACTATTCACCACATCTGACACTTACACCCTAAAAAACTGCTTTGCTAGTACCTTTTTACTTACAATGTCTGAGTTGCTTTGTGTAGTTTAAACACCACTGTTCCTCAGTCAAATCAGGCCTCCTGTAGGTCAAAGTATGTATTTTCCACGACTGGTTGCAGAGGAACAAGAAACCATAACGAAAAACCAAAACCAATTATCTTATCTGATAAGACAGGACCCTAATGCTAGATCAGAATTTTATACACATTTGTCAACAGGATTTATTATAGACAACAAAGACTTTTCTGTCTATGCAAAACACATGTCCGTCTTAGTGATTCATGACTTACTCAGGTGGGCAAGGCTCAGTGTTGCAGGCTCTTTGGTTTTCTGGAGGCTTACTGTCAGGGTCACAGTAATTGTTTTGTACAATGGAGTTGTCATCCAGCCTTTTACACACCACCTCTTGTTTCTGCACACCTTGGGATGAAATGAAACACCATTAGTTAATGATTTTTGCTCTTCTACTTGTTGAGTATTTCACCTATTGATTACTAATCCTACTATCCCACTTCAGTTGGCTAACTGCTGTGGTGGTGTGAATTCCAATTGACTGAATGACCCCTAATCACAATCAATCTTTCATTTTCCTTCAATTTTAGGCCACCCCACTGAGAGAGGATTTTAAATTGCTGTTGTTTTCTAAAACAAAGGGAATATATTTATAGATTTACTAACAGATTGTTTTTATTTGTGTATTGCACAAAATACATTTTCTGTCTATCCTCCTCTCCTAGTAAAAGACACTTACATTTCCAAAGAAAACATCACCAAATAGAATGTGGTCACACTTCAATGCAGCATTATTGTTTATGTGCTCTGGCTTAAAATAAACCAGCAATACTGGGAAACAGTGTTGCATTTTCATACATGCCATTCTATAAATATTTTCTTAATTAAAATAATAGAAGTATTATTCATTCTGAATGATGGTCTCTGTGAATGCTCATTTTGTCCGGCACTCCCAGCTCCTCTTTCACTGTTAACCATCATCAGGGCAGTTTAGAATCTATTATTCCCAAAACATAATGACGTGTCACTGCCAAGGCAACATTATAAGGTAGCATATTAAGCAGATTTTCTGATTTTTTAAAAAACAGGATCTAAAGAAAGGCATTAAAGAACCATTGATATGACAACAGTGCAGCTCAGAGTATTGTTGTAAAGAGTAGTAGACACGGCCGCCTCCTCTCTTTTTAGAACAAGCTGTATGATGTTTGCTAGCATGAAAAGACTGCATCTGCAATTCATATGCAGTTCTTATTGAACATGAGTAGTCATAGTACTGGAATAACAGGATTATTTGTATGATAAAAGTATGATAAAAGAACCTTTCTTAAAACCAGAAGTAATTATTTAACTTTTTCCAAAATGTGAAATGCACACAATTAAATAGATTAAAACATTCTGGCTTCAAGTATCTGCCAACTTTACAGCCCTCTCTTCATTTTAAGACAAGCTTTTTATAGGAGGTAGACATAAAATTAATTATGTAAATATGTTTTTCAGACACTAAACATCCCACTAAAAACATGGGATTTCTTTCACCAAATATTTGTAGTCCTTTTGCTCATTTTAAACAAGCTAAACAACTTACCTTGCAATTGCTTCTTTTGTTATTCATTATGGACAAGAATCAAAAGTCCTACTTTGGTTCCTAAAACATGACCTATACAGAATTCAGGTATTTAATTCCAACAGTGAGTCAAGCCTAGCCTTGAGATGCCTGAAGTTTGGCCCACAATGCATTCTGCTTGGCTATGAACATAAGTTTGCAGTCCACAACACAGAAGCATGTGAAATCTCTTCATGACGTTATGTGCAAAGGACATGGGGAAAATGGTAGCCTCCTTTTTCATGAGTCTTGACGATGGCATGCACTCATCCATGAGGCTGCAGATGCAGGAGTAGGTATAATGCCTCTCATACTGAAGGGATGCCCAATTACCATGAGAACACCGTAACTTCTGTGACTTAGTGGTTAATTTAGGTAAGGTGGCAAGACTGTGGTTTCTAGTCTGTAGATTATTTCTAGTTCTTATTCAATTATAGTCTGATGTAAGCTGTCTAAACCATCTTGACAGCAAGGATGAAAATCCGTATCTGCCTGTGCTAGATGAATGTCTTATTTTCTGGATACAGATTAAAGCCCTTCCTTGTCTTCCTGCCATGGGCCCCATGAATCTTGCATCCCTGGCTGCACTGTGGAACAGAATGCTTATTAAAAAAATCTTCCCTTTCCCTCCCCTCTGAGACACTTCAACTTTCTATGGCACACAGCTAAGAGTACTCTTCTGGAGATGTACTCCCAGCTGAAATCTCTTCACTCTGCAATAGAGAATTGCTATTAATTGATAATTGTCATGGCATCCTGCAAAATATGGGTATTATGCCTCACATAAAAATGGAGCCTTGTTAATTCAAATTCTCTCAGGAAAACCCAGCAGTCTGGATCCTAAGCATGTGAAAATGTCCCATGTGTCCTCAAGTCTAATGTTCATGTTCCTTGACAAGTACAAGAGGAGTTAGGTTCACCACTCAACATGCCATTTCTTACAGGATGCCTGTTTAGCAGGTGAGAACTTTGCATCAGCCCTCAAAATCATTAACATCTTCAACTCTCTTCAAAATCATTAACCAACTTAAGACCAAAGATGTCTAAAGCTGGAGTCTTCACTCTACTACAGTACTTAAATCCAGAGTCTGGAGCTTTGCTGCTGGGATGTCTCCTTTTTGATTATAGCAACACATAACCTTCACAAAGTAGGTGCTTTAAATCAGGTTGTAAATCATTTCACACGTCGCATATCTCAGGTTATCCATAAACATCACAGTAATTTTAAAGTTTTTCCATATTTAAGAAAAAGATACTGATTAATGTAAGACATAAGTCTTACATGTGAGCCAGGTAAGCCAATCAGCTTCTTCCATCTGCTCTTCTTTCTACAGGTATCTGGATGCCACATTAGACAACAGCAGGTACCACTAAACAGCGCAGAAGGCTGCCAGACTGTTTTCCAAGTGTTTCCTACATACACAAATCTACATGAACAAGCTAAAAAGAAAATATCATTTTGAACAGTATTCAACCTCCATTTTCTTGCTAATTTTCAATTTATGTGCTTTACATGTTGGAAAAAAAATCATTTTGCTATAAAGTTAGGTCCAGTTAGAATTGAGGAACAACTCAAATCATTAGCATGGGGGGGGCCTCAAGGGCCTGAAGTACATGCCTCCACAGCTGTTGTTTGATTGCATTAACATATAGATATTCTCTTTCAGATATGCATCAGGTATCAAAGATTTAGAGCTTCACATAACTATGTTCCATTTATAGCATTCTCAGCACCTAATATTTCAATTACATGAAATGATAAAAAGCTGAAAATCAGTCAGATCTTGCACTATAATGGTATTTAAATAACCCTGGAACACAGGAATTTGGAACATACAACTAGCATCAATACCCTTCTATTGCCCCTTTCATAAACTGATTAAGCTCCACGTTAAGCCTAGGAATATTTTTTTTCTCTGAACTTTACACCTGTGACTACTATAAGCATTCCAATTTCCATTAATTGCCAATTTAATTTTTTAAAGTCAAAAGAGTCTATCATTTTAAGTAACTTTATTGTGTTAACCAAGTCAAGTCTTGCAGTCTCTGTGTTGTTAGATACACCGTTCCTTTGGTCAACCTCACAACCCTTCTGTGCATCTGCTCACACCTGAGTTTATTACAGCCACAATACAAACTATGCCCAGGACTCCATAGGATTTTACTAGTGCCTTATCCAGTCTCATTAACACTTTTAAATAAACATATACTAAAATCAAATCTGCCTTTATCATGACTACAACATATCCCAAACTTCCCCATATGTCTCCTAGTGCTGTCAGCAAATTTCATCAAAGCTTTCTACTTTTTATGCTGCCATCAGAACAAGAAAAACAGAACAAGAAAAACTGAAGTCTCATGAGTCATGTGAAACCGCTGTAAGAAGTCCACTAGGCTCACTGCCTTTTGGCCCAGTAATTTACATTTAAAGTATACCTCTTGCCTACTAATCTCTTCTAATTCTTTTTTAGGTGTAGGTGACAACAAAAGCCTTTAGAATCTTAAGAAAGTCAAGATCAATGAATCTACTACATTTCCTTGGTCTAGAAAATTAGTGATATATTAAAATATATCTGGCTAGTCGAGCATGACCTATCATGTCACGCTTCACCCCATTTGCCACTTATTTCTAGATCTTTATACTGTTCTTCAAAATTTCAAATCAGTTAGTAGTTCAATGTTATTGCTATATTTACACTCACACACATGGAGTGAGAGATTATTTTCTTCAGTTCTCTACTATTTTAGTACTATTGTAGTAGAGAAAAGGCATATCAACTGCAGCATGAAAGAGAGAAAAATGTTTGCTAGATTAGGCTCTCCTTTATAAACTCTTCCTTTGGTTCTTGACAAATAAGTGGAACATCTAAATATTTGAGAAGCTGTGACAAGATGATTCACTTTAAATTGTATAATCTATGCAAACACTGCCAACAGATGAGAATAATTAAAATCAGATCTGACAACCTGAGTAGGAGTATTTCTTTTGCAATTTTCTACTCAAACTTCACCATGACAAGAAATAGAATTTAAAAGGTCTAGCCAAACAGCAATGCTATTAACACAGCACTGCTAGTTGACATAGAATTTATGTTCAGCTCCAAGTGATGAATAATCATTTATCCTTTCTATCACAAGCTGCCTTAATTCTCTTTGTGGTTGATAAAATAGGCTGAACGTTGCCTTCATAATGATATTTCTCTCAAATAAAATTGCTTGAAAATAGTAATTTATACACACTTTAGAATTAAACATTTTAATGATGCATACCATTCTCGCAAATCTATTTATGGGATAGCATTGATATTCATGTTATGTTTTCACTGAATTTCCTACCAGCATCATACACATTTCCTTCCACGCTTTGGCTAAAAATTGGCAGCCTCACTAAAATAATTTCTAAGGAGCTATGTAATAAGAAAGCGTTCTGAAGTACTATGAACACAAAGTATCATTGTGCTCAGTTTTAAAAAAAAATTTAAGTCAGACATGTTATTTATCGAATGTTGGTCAGGTAGCATATCACCCATAAGATACTATGCACCACTATTCACTCACACAGTGAAGAATCGTTAATCCATGCCAGGAAATACATTAATCCAGTTTTAAAATGTTCTGCAGCTTCTCGCCACACAGGATGTAAACTTTACATCATTGCTGTCTAATTACAGTGTTATTTAAAATAAAATCTCAGAATCAAAATTTAGATTCTAACTTTAAGGCAAGGAAAATAAACGGAAAAATCTAGAAGTGCAGTTTTTACCCAGATAACACCTACAACTTGGTTAAGCCCTGTGGGCCTTGA